CTGCCATTCAATATTCCTCTACAGAGAATTCTCTCTTTAGCTCTGTTCCCCATTTTTTAAGTGGATTATTTGGTTTGTTGCTTTTCAGCTTGTTTAGTTCTTTATATATATTGGATGTGAGTCCTCTGTCAGATAAAGGGGTGGTGATGATTCTTTCCCAATCTGTAGGCAGTCGCTTTGTTTTGATGACGGTGTCCTTTGCTTTACAGAAGCTTTTCAATTTCATGAGGTCCCATTTATTGATTGTTGCTCTTAGAGCCTGTGCTGTTGGTGTTCTGTTCAGGAAGTTTTCTCCTGTACCAATGAGTTCTAGGGTATTCCCCACTTTTTTTTCTAGCCGATTTAATGTATCTGGTTTTATGTTGAGGTCTTTGATCCACTTGGACTTCAGTTTTGTGCAGGGTGATAAGTATGGATCTATTTTCATTTTTCTACATGTAGACATCCGGTTGGACCAACACCATTTGTTGAAGATGCTATCTTTTTTCCATTGTATGGTTTTGGCATCTTTGTCAAAAATCAGGTGTCCGGAAGTGTGTGGGTTTATTTCTGGGTCTTCTATTCCATTCCATTGATCCACCATTCTGTTTCTATGCCAGTACCATGCAGTTTTTATAACTGTTGCTCTATAGTACAGCTTGAGATCAGGGATGGAGATACCTCCAGAAGATCTTTTATTGTAGAGAACTGTTTTAACAATTCTCGGTTTCTTGTTATTCCATGAGAAGTTGAGAATTTTTCTTTCCAGGTTTGTAAAGAATTGTGTTGGCAATTTGATGAGAATTCCATTAAATCTGTAGATTGCTTTTTTACTATGTTAATCCTGCCAAGCCATGAGCATGGGAGATCTTTCCATCTTCTCATATCTTCCTCTAATTCTTTCTTCAGAGACTTGAAATTTTTTTCATACAAGTCTTTGACTTGCTTGGTTAGGGTTACACCAAGGTACTTTATGTCCTTTGTGGCTATATGAAGGGTGTTGTTTCTCTAATTTCTTTCTCAGCCCTTTTGTCTTTTGTATACAGGAGTGCTACTGATTTTTTTGAGTTAGTTTTGTATCCGGCCACTTTGCTGAAGGTGTTTATCAGCTGTAGGAGTTCCCTGGTAGAGTTTTTGGGGTCACTCATATATACTATCATGTCATCTGCAAATAGTGATAATTTGACTTTGTGTTTTCTTTAATTTTTCTAGTTCTATCTTCAGGTCTTGAGTTGTTTTGTTTACTTCCTTCACCTGTCTGCTTGTATTTTCCTCTTTTTCTTTTAGTTCCTTCAACTCTGTCTCTTTTATTTCTTTCAGTGATTTAATTATTTCTTCTCTGAAGGGCACAAGCTGTTTGGCTGCATCTTCCCGTATTTCTTCACGGATGGCCCTAATCTGCTTGTCTTTATCTTCCTCCATTTCTTTACGGATAGCCATGATCTGTTTGGTTTTATCTTCCTCTAAATATTTACGTATTTTATTTGTTTCCTCTATTATCCTCTTCATCAGCATAGATGTAAGGTCATCTTGATTTTCTATTATGCTGTGTTGTCCAGGGCTGTTCGCCCCTGAATGGCTGGGTTCTGGAGATGCCATATTGCTCTGTCTTTTGTTGGTTGAGCTTTTATGCTGACCTCTACCCATTGGGCTGATTTAGGTGTTGGCTGTTAGTTTCTGTGCTTCCTGGAGTCCTTAGGTAAGGAAAATCCCCTTGGCCGGAAGATGATTTTTCCTGAAGGAGTCCTCCTCTGCTTTTTGGTTATGGTCACTGTATGGCCAGTGTTTCTCAGGAGTTGCCACTGCTCATCTCAAGTTTATAGCCCTGAGTAGTAGCTGTGGTCTTTGTTACGCAGGGGGGGATCTCCTCTTACCCATCGAAGTTCTCAAGACAGCTGCCCCACTACTGGGTTTCTTGTTATAAATTTAGTGTGCTGCTGCTCACTAAATTTCCAGGTACAGCCCTCTTGAAGAACCTGCTGATTCGCTAGCTGTGAGGTTTTCTCCCAACAGGGAAACTCAGTCTGTTATCCTGGGGCACACAGTTCTGTCTGGGAAAATGAGAGGTGCACTCAGCAAGTCTCTGGGCCAGAGGCTGAGTGCTCTGCTCTGGGCCTGGAGAATGTGCACCTAGGTTGAGTTGGCGCCTGGGGGCGCTGCTCTGGTCTGGAGGCTGGGTGCCTCACTCTGGACCAGTAGCTGTGTGTCCCTGTTTGGGATGGCGGCTGCAGGCACTGCTCTGGTCCAGACACTGTGGGTGCAGCCCTCTTGAAGGACCAGGGATTCCCACAGTTTTGACAGTCTAGCTAGGGATAACTGGTTGATCCTTGGCACAGTATCTGAGGGCTGCTGTAATGGCTCTCTGGTTTTGGTAGGTCTGAGGATGCAGCTGTGTTTCCCAGTGCCCTAGGGTAACTCAATAATGGTGGCTGAGCACAGCGCTCCTGCCTGCATTAAAGCCTAGAGTCTGCGTGAATCCAGGGAGTCTTTTGGTGCTGGGTGTCCTAAGCGTTAGAGCTGATGATCCCCTCAGCTGGGGGTTTCCTCCTGCCAGAGACACCCAGTCTTTGCTTTGGGGACCGCTGTTCTGCCTGGGGTGGCGAGTAGAACCCACAGGCACAGATGCCTGCTTGTGGCTCCGCCTTTCTGGACGTTAGGAGCCTTGGCTGCTGCCTAGACTGGGTAATTTTCCCTAGACCTTTTCGGGGTGGGGGTGTCGGCTGAGTGCTCTGAGATCAGACCAGCTGTTTACCTCCCTGTGGGTTTTACACCTGACAGTGAAACGCAGTCTCTGGTGCCCTGGTACCCACAGTTCTATCTGAGGCGGCGAATCAGGCGCGCAGGCAGGGCTCCGTGCAGGTGCCTGGGTCCCGGCTCTGGCTCCCTCTGCGCTAGCTCTTTGGGCACCCGTGGAACCTGAGTCTTTTCCAGGGGATTTCTGGGTGACCTGAGGTCGATCCCAATCGTTTCCTGCTCCGTGGGTTTATCTCTCGACTGGGAAATCCAGTCTATGGTTTTGTGGGCCCACAGTTCAGTCTGGGACCTTGACCAGATCACGCTGGGGTGTAGCTCTGGGCTGGCGACCAAGCGCCTGGCGGAACCGGAATCTCTTCCGTGGTTTAGCCGGGTGAGTTAAAGCTGATTGAATCCCCCACCGTGGGGTATCCTCTCACCTGTGAAACACAATCACTTGTGTTTTATGGCCACGAGTTCTGATTGCTGGTCACTGTGCCAATCCTGCTGTGCTGCTCCTCAGAATGAGAGTACTCCTAGTGCTGCCCTCTTGCCCCGCCGGGGTGTTGAATTTTGTCGAAGGCTTTTTCTGAATATAATGAGATGATCATGTGATTTTTTTTTCATTGAGTTTGTTTATATGTTGGATTACTTTGATAGATTTTAATATGTTGAACCATCTTTGTATCCCTGGGATGAAGCCTACTTAATCATGGTGAATAATCTATTTGATGTGTTCTTGAATTCGGTTTGTGAGTATTGAGTATTTTTGCACTGATGTCCATGAAGAAAATTGGTCTGACACTCTTTGTTGAGTCTTTTTGGGGTTTATGTATCACGGTGACTGTCTTTAAAGAATGAGTTTGGCAATGTTCTTTCAGTTTTCATTTTGTGGATTAATTTGACGACTATTGGTATTAGCTCTTTTTTTAATATCTGATATTATCCTGTGCTAAAATCATCTGCACTTGGGCTTTTTTGGATGAGAGTTTGGATGACTTCCATTTCTTTGGGGGTTATAGGACTGCTTAAATTGTTTACCTTATCTTGATTCAACTTTAGTAAGTGAAAGCTATAAAGAAAATCATCCATTTCCTTTAGATTTTCCAATTTGTGGAATATCAGCTTTTGAAGTAAGACCTAATGATTTTTTAAGTTTTTTCAGTGTCTCTTTTTATGTCCCCCTTCTTGTTTTTTACTTTCTTTACTTAAATACTCTCCCTCTCCCTTTTATTTATTTGGTTAAGTGTCTGCGTATCCTGTTGATTTTTTCAAATAACCAGGTCTTAGATTCACTGATTCTTTTTAATCATTCTCCTTGTTTTCAATTTATTGATTTCAACCCTGAATTTTATTATTTGCTGTTGTCTATTCCTCTTTGGTGTGTTTGCTTCCTTTTGTTTTAGAGCTTTCAGGTTTGCTGCTACGTTACTAGTATATAATTTCTCCAATTTCCTTATGAAGGTTCTTAATGCTATGAACATTTTCTACATGTACTTGAATATAGCAATGCAACAAATTTTCTTTAGAACTCCATATTATAATATACTTTAGGTGCAAGTGATGATTTTGTTACTTTTACAAATCACACAGACCTCTTGGTAAATACTATTATTTAATTACAGGCTGATGATTAAACACATCTATAAAACAATATCAAATATCTACATCAATTGATATGCAATTCAGTGGCCATTTCTAAATTTTTTACATTGCTCCATTGACTATATATAGTTTATTGGTGATTACTTTTACTTGTATTCAGAATATAAACTGATTCATTGTAAGTGATCTTAGAACAAGTTCAGATGCATATCTTTACAGCAATTTCACTGTATATCCTCATATATTACTTTATTTTTTATGTAAAATCAATTTTAATAAATGCTTGTATGACTAGAGGACTATAAGCTATTGCAATATGATATGAACAATAAAATGTGTTCTATATATGTGTGTACATGTATGCATATGAATACATGTATTTATATTTACTAATTTATCAAGACACTGGAATTATCTCTCTCTATTTTTTTTCTAATTTTGTCGTTAGAAATTAACGATGAAGACCATACAAGATCAAACCTTGGAAACAATCCTGATCTTGTAAATATTGCATTACATTTTTCTATTTGCATTTAAACATTTAGTAGTAAACAAAGGGTTAAATGTTTCCAACTTTGAAACCATGAGAATATTCACTTTTAAACTTATATTTAATATTTTATTGTTGATTTCTGGATTAATTTCAGTGTTATTTTAAAACCTGCTTTTTTTTCTTTTTATAGGACTAGTCACGATGATGATGATGAAAATGCAAGTGGCTCCTCAATCATAATGGTAAAATTTACACAAATATCTGTACTTTTTGAAAGTTACATTTTTTCTTCTAACATTGAAGTAATCCTCCTATATCAATTCATATATATTCAAATATGGATAATGTAATTAATAAAAATATATTAATTTTTAAATAAAAATGAGTATTTGGAAGCATGTGTATAATACGATCTTAGAATAAAATGACTCAGGTATATTACTCTTACTTTCCTAAGGAGAAAATTAATGCTAAAGATAAATCTTAGAGTCACAAAGCGCGGCTAGAAAAAAATTCTGGGTTTACTTTTTAACCTGAGCCATCTCTTGGAGTAATTGGGATGCCTATTGCCTTAATGAAATTTAAATGACTGAAATATGCTGAAACAAACAAACAAGAATGATACTATTGCCTGGCATGTAATGGACATAAAAACGTTTTAAATGAAAGAAAATTGTTAGAATTGTTAGTTGTTTTCATCAGCATTTGGCAGAAATACTTCATTTTAACCACAGTTACAGTTATTGCATCAGATAGGAATTTCTGCTTTCCCTGACAATGACGTGTCACAAGACAGAATTTTATTTGCTTATTCATTCATTTATTCATTGAGTATTTTAATTTTTGTTGGTGTAGATGAATTTTTTTCAATACTACTGCTGAATGAGCATCACCCTCAGCCAAGCCAGAATTTTTAATTTGCCTTATTTGAACTAAACAAATCTACTTACTCATTCCTTGTTTGCACTGAGTGAAAATCAGTGTTTACAATAAGGAACACAGGAAAATAATTTTGATTAGGTGAGTTATACAGTGCACAATTCCTTCAGAAAACATCCAATCTATTTCTTTCTTAAGAATAATTTAAATAGTCTCATGTTTTAGTAAAAACATAGGTCATTTTTTATTTTTATTTTTTCTTCACAATTAATTCATTATATCTCCCAATTGAAGTTCCCTCCTTCAACTCCCCCCAGGCCCACTCTCCCACCTCTTCCCCCCATCCTCTTCCCTTAGTCCACTGAAAGAAGGAGTTCTCCACTAATGCCATCTGCCCATAGCTTGTTAAGTCTCATGAAGACTGCCTGGATCCTCTTCCTCTGTGGCCTGGCCAGTCTGCATCATCAGGGTCAAGTAATTAAAGAGCAGTCAACTGAGCTCATGATAGAGATAGCCACTCCTCCTCTCACTCAGAGATCCACATGGAGACTGAGCTGCCAATAGGCCACATCTGAGCACGGGGTCTAGGTCCTCTCCATGCATGGTCCTCCATTGGTTCATTAGTCTCTACAGGAACCCCTGGGCTCAGATCTTTTAATTTTGTTGGTCTTCTTGTGGGGCTCATGTCCCCTCCATGTCGCTCTATTCCCACCCATCTCTTCCTCCAAAGTTTGGCCATGATTCTCAGCATCTGCTTAGATCCCCTGTTGGGTGAATCCTTTCAGAGGACTCTCTATAATAGACTCTCATCCTGTTTCCTCCCTTCCATGGCTTCTGATGTCTATCATGTTTGCCATTCTGAATGAGATTTAAGCATCCTCCCTAGGATCCTCCTTACCACATAGTTCTGTAGATTGCTATCCTGTATTATACAGCTAATATCTGCATAAAAGTGTGGGTATACCAAACCCGTCATTCTGTTTTTTGGGTTACCTCTCTTGGGATGATCTTTTCTAGTTCCATCCATTTGCCTGCAAATTTCATGATTTCCTTGTTTTTAATAGCTGAGTAATATTCCATTGTGTACATGTACCATAATTTCTCTATCCATTCCTCTGTTGAGGAACATCTAGGTTGTTTCCAGATTCTGGCTATTAAAAATAAAGCTGCTATGAACATAGTTGAGCAAATGTCTTTATTGAATGGTGGGGTATCTTTTGGGTATATGCCCAGGAGTGGTATAGCTGGATCTTGAGGTAGTGTTATTTCCAAATTTCTGAGAAAGTGCCAGGTTGATTTCCAAAGTGGTTGTACAAGTTTATACTCCCACCAGCAATGAAGGAAGATTCCCTTTTCTCCACATCCTTTCAACATGTATTGTCACTTGAGTTTTGGATCTTAGCCATTCTGATAGGTGTAAGATGGAATCTCAGGTTTGTTTGGATTTACATTTCCCTGATGACTAAGGCTGTTGAAGATTTCTTTAAGTGTTTCTCTGCCATTCGATACTCCTCTATTGAGAATTCTCCATTTAGCTCTGTACCCCACTTTTTAATTGGATTATTTGGTTTAAATCAATATGTTCTGTTTCATTTTAAGTCATTGGGTGGTACTGACTATATAGTTAATAGAAAAATTTGCTGCACTAATCTGAAAACTCAGAATTAATATCAAAGCTAGGGAGTTCCAACAACTTTGTACATATAAATTTGACATCTCAAATAAGGTAAGGTAAAATATCAAAAAATACCATTGAATTTATCTAAATAATCTTATAGCTATTAAGAAAACTGAACTTATATTTTAAAACTTTACAAAAATAATCATTAGTCCCATTGTTCAACAGGAATATTCAAATCAAATATCTGAAGAATTATCACAAATTTAGAACAGTCTTTTTCAAAAACCAGAATGGGAAAAGTACATTTTCATTCAGTCTTTGAAGCTAGCCTTATCTTGATACTAAGGCAAGCCAACAATTGTACAAAAGCAAAACTTAACTGTACACCAATATTCTTAGTTAATGTAGAAGAAGAAAGAAGCAAAAATATCTGACACAACGTAGGTAAATGGATAGCAATTCAACTAAAATGCTGTATGATCCAGTGAAATTTACTCTATGGATGCAACTCTAGCTCAACATTTAAAATTGTATCAAATGATCAAAAATTATGCATATATTTAATTGGGTACATAAAAATATACCAATAAAAATATTAAATGTTGAAAGATTGAATGTTTTTCCATTAAGATGAAGTACTTTCTTGTCACGCTTTCATAACATAAAAAGTATTAGAATGAACAGGGACTATTTCTGACATGAACTCAATGGAGGGCTCTTTGACCCCCCCCCCAAGGGAGGAGCAGCCCTGCTAGGCCACAGAGGAGGACTTGGCAGCCAGTCCTGAAGATACCTGATAAAACAGGGTGAGATGAAAGGGGAGGAGGTCCTCCCCAATCAATGGACTTGGAAAGGGGCAGGGAGGAGATGAGGTAAGGAGGGTGGGATTGGGAGGGAATGAGGGAGCGGGATACAGCTAGGATACAAAGTTAATAAACTGTAATTAATATTAAAAAATAAAAACAAACAAAAAGTACCAACACAATTCTAAAAAACAAAGTATTAGAATGAAAAAGTTAGAAAACTGTGGAAGAAGTAAAAGATATAACTAATATGCATACAAACTGTGTTAATAGATTATAAAACTCAACATGTAATGATGTAATTACTCCAAAATTAATATTCAGATTTCATATAATACTTACCTCAGCCATGAATTTTGATACTTACAGAGACTATTGTTCTAGAATATATAGAAAAGCAAAGGTATTGCAGTAGCCAAATATTTTTTTTAATTTTTTCATTTTTCATTATTATCAATTACAGTTTCTTCCTTTGTATCCTGGCCAGCTCACTCCTTCATTTTTTTGTTTGTTTTACTTTTTAATTAAATTTTTTATTTTATATTAATTACAGTTTATTTACTTTGTATCCTAGCTCCAGCCCCCTCCCTCATTTCCTCTCAATCCTACACTTTCTCCCTCATCTCTTCCCTGCAGGAGGACATTACAGCCAGTCCTGGTAAGACCTGATAAGCTAGGGTCAAATGGAAGGGGAGGAGGACCTCCCATTTCAGTGGCCAAATAATTTTTATTTATTTTTATTTATTTTTGGGAATTTCATAAAATATGTTTTGATCTTATTCACCACCCTCTGACAACTCCTTTCTTATCCAACATCATCCCACCTCTCACCCCTTACATTGCTGTTCTCCTACACCCAACTTTATGTTCTTTAAACAAACAAACAAAAACAAATCGATTATAGTTATTGGTGACAGAGATTCTTGAACATGTGACTTTCCTGTAGAGTTTGGTCAACCTACCAGGGTCTACATCTTTAAATAAAACTGGTTTTTCTTCTTTCAGTAGCTACCAATTGCTGGGTAGTTCCTCAGCTAAGGATAAAACTTTGTGTCTACCCTTTCTCCATACTAGAAAATTTTCTGGTTTGAGCTTGTACAAGTCTTGTAAATGCTGTCATCAATTTTGAATTTAAATAAAGAAGAAAGTAGGGAAAATCAGCCTTACTTTCTTTAAGACAAAATATAAAGCTATAAAAAGCAAGATTTCATGTCATTAGTGTAAGGATATACACATAAATACAATATAGAGGGAAAAAAGTAAATCCAGGGCGAGTAAGGTGGCTTATCAGGTAAAGGTGCCTGTTACTATGGCTGATGATATGAGTTCACTCCCTGGGACCCATGACTTAAAAGAGAATTAACTCCCACAACACCTTTACTCATGTGCAGTAGCATGCATGTGGCTGCACATACATATACATACAATCAATAAATTCAATGTGATAAGATAGAAAAGAAATACAAAAAGTGATCTATATAAATGCTTCCAAAAGAAACTCAATGAAAAATGTAGTCTTTCCACAAATGGTACTGGAGTAACTGAAAATATATAGTAAAATTTTAGGCCCAAAACACAGACTTTGACCTAAACTTCACCCCTTACATAAAAAGTAACGCAAAATGTACAAAGTTCTAAATGTAAAACATAAAACTTTTAGAAAATCACTTTTAAGATAAAATGATTGGTTTAGAGAAGTAGGAAAGCATTTCTTAAATTTGTCATGTAAAAGACAGTCCACACATTAGATAAAGTGGATTTGTCAACTTTATAGACTCTTGTTTGATAAAAAAGATTGATTAAGGCATATGTGGAAGAATAATTATAACCCAAAGTTGTGATCTAGGACAAGGATGTAGAGGAATTTTAATTTAATTTAATTTATTTAGTTAGATATTTAGTTGTTCACTTTACATCTCAGTCATAACCCCTTTCCTCT